TTTTTTTTTTTAAATCATGCGATCAATGAAAACCAGTGAATAAGCTCAAACAAAACGGACCAAAAAGCTCAGAAGAGGTAGGATGAAATCAAGGAAAAGGTGAATGGCGGAGCCCTCGTAAATAGAAGAGTTTTTCGAGTTTTTAAAAAATTTTTTTTCAAAATTTTTCAAAGTTTGTTAAAACTACTGGTATGACCCTGTCGGCACTGTAGGGTTCTCGACATTAGCAGCTCTGTCCAGAACTAAGCGACTCAAAGTCAACTTGTACTGGCTCAACGTTGTGGGCTCCGTGAGTGATCTTTTGCTATTCGATGTCGTAGCGGTATTTGCAAAGCCTGTTCTTATCAACTGAAAGATATTAAGGATGAAGCTTGGTCGCACTCTAGATTTCTTTCAAGCAGACAGGTACCAAGATCGCTTGAACAGTCGATGCGGGTATCCCATGTCAATGATTTTGCCTGCGTGTTTTCTTATGAGAATGCCCGACGTAGCAATGCCGAGTGTTTCGACACGTTTACTAAAAAGTGACATCTTCGGGACATAAAACTGGACATAGGTTTAGACTCGGTCAAATTTGGTCGCATCCCAGTAACTTCGAGAGTTTTTTTTATCTTCCAGTGTTTTCCGCCATATTTCATATTTGTTAACAACAATTTACCTCATTTTCCAATTAGTTTTGCTTTTTTTTTCTAAGTTTTCGCTCCTCTTAATTTATCAGAGAGACAGGAAAATAGACGTGTGTAGAGAGGATGATACAACTTCTTACAGATTCATGATGTTTTTGCAATTTCGGGACCAGGCAAAACTATGAGAAAAGACTTTGATTCATCCATTCGAGATTGCAACAACTTAGGGACATATTGACTCATTAGTCTTTCGTTCATTTTGGCTTGGTCAATATTCGATCTTTACTCGTCGTTTAGAGCGGAAGCTGAAGTTAGCTGCCTTTAAGCTAGTGCCAGACTTCCCCTCCTACCTGTCCTTGTGTACATTGTACGCAACTCGGCTAGCATATTGTTTGCCTAACCAGTAAATAATTCCATCGACAGCTTTGTTTGCACTAAATACACCGATCGAAGTTGAAGAACTGTTACGGTGTGACATTGTGCGAGCACGAGGAAAAGAAGGGAGGTGAGGAGAGCAAAGTGGGCATGAAGGAGGAAATTAGGCCAGGATTTTTTTAGGCAATAGACTTTGTGGTACCAAACCTCAACATTTTGCCGCCTTTATTCCTCTTGGCGCTATTGTTTACTGTTTTTTGCCTGCAAATGACAGTTCGACTGGTCATTTTTTGTGGGGACAGTATTATAACAGATGGATTATAAAAATATTAACAACAGCAAAATTATAATCTTAATAATGATAGCAATGATATTAATAATAATAATATTTATAATAGTAATAATAATGATAGCAAATTAGTATCAATAATAATCGTGATAGTATCAATGAAAAAATAATAATAGCAGTAAAAGTAATAATAATAACAGTAATGATAATGACAACAACAGTAATAATAATGTTTAATGGCTGTGGTATTGGAAACGTTTGTGTTGAGGAAACTGATAGTGATAAGCCTGTTGCTGCTGCTGCTGGTGAAAGTTGAGATTTCCTGGATTATCAGTACAAGAAGCCACAAAACAGTTGTCACACCATGTTGCAACACAATCCGATTTGAAGATTTGTAAACATGAAATGTTAGATGATTGGAGTTTGATTACATGGAAATCCGAGAAATAGCTGTGCACGTGCGTGCCATACAAAATTGCAACGCTTACAACAGTTTACTTTATGAAATATTATTCTGCAGCCGTGATGTGATAAAATTGATAAAATCAACAGAGCCATAACAAAAAAGTAAAGGAAGTGATGCTTGGAAGAAATGAATTTTGGCATCGCTCAACCGAACTAGCATCATTTTCAACTTTTTTATCAACACTTATCATCAGAGCACACGGGCTTGATTTAATGGTAAGTGGCACCCTTCTTTCAGGAATCTTTTTGAAGTGCCAAAAATTTGGATGCTTGTTTGAATGAGAAATCGGGATAACCGGTTTTTCCAGGATTGTTGGATTTCGTTTTTTCGATAATAAATTAATAATGATCTAAAGAGGGAGATACCTGAAAGTAGGTGAGCGTCTTCAGCTCGCTTATCAGCGTTCGTAAGTCTTTAACAATAGGTAATACTGTTGGCAGCGCGTTATCACTACAGCCGATCAAGAAATGCCTACGTGTACAAGGATGAATGCAGGCAACTTGTTGCCTGCCAAAATTTTTAGTGATACTGTTTCCTCTCAAATGCACAATCGAATAGCATATCAGCTTTCTCTGGCTTTACACTGAAACTCCGGAATACAAGTATTATACTCGAAAACTAGTCGGAAACTAGTCGCTGAAAATTTTTCAGGATATTTATCGTCCTTCTGGGAAACTTATACCTAAAGCGAGCTCCAGTTTGTGCTTGCACCACGAATCGGGGTACTTCAAAAATATTCGTAGAGAAGTTGTTCAATTAGAGTACAAGCATGATGTTCGGCTAAAAGCAAGTGTTGTACAAGAATTGTCAAGTGGAGTACAAGTTTTATGCAAATGCTCTACAAACAATCTTACCTCCTTTTCGCGCGAGGATTCTTATGTTATCCGCGGTACTCTCGAGGTATACGTGAGCCTGTCTCTGGTCTATTGCAATAGTGCGTAATTCTTTAATCCGGTTTTGAGACCGCTTGTGCTCTCATTGTCGAGGAGTCTCGGCACCGAGGTGATGATGATTCATGTGCCCCCCGTCACTTATTGATAATTCGTTCTCAAGGAGTAGTAGG